TCCTGCACATGAACAGCCTCTGCACCTTCATCAGCTAAGGGGTGGTAGGCGGGAGAGGGGGTCCCTCCTTCCTACCCACAGCCATTTGCATCCTCAGAGCATCCTTCATGGGCCGTTCCCTATGAGCAGCTTAAGAACCACCATGCTGGGCCTGGCATGATGGACCTAGTATCTAATGCCCTCACCTTGAACGCACCGGGATCCCATATGGGCACTGGTTCTAATCCCGGCAGCTCCACTTCCCATCCAGCTCCCTGCTTGTGGCCTGGGAAAGCAGCCAAGGACAGCCCATAGCTTTGGGACCCTGTACCTGCATGGGAAACCTGAAGGAGGTCCCTGGCTCCTGGCTTTAGATTGGCACAGTATCGGCTGTTGCAGTCACTTGGGGAGTGAATCAGACAGAAGATCTTCCTCTCTGTCTTAACTCCTCTCTGTATATCTGACTTTGCAATAAAAATAAACAAATCTTAAAAAAAAAAAAAAAAAGACCACCATGCTGGCAATGTGCTACTCTGCTGCCTGGGTAGGGCCAAGCCATTTGATCTCGAGGGCCCTCTATGGCCCGAAAACTGGACGCCCCCATCCATGCAGGTCAAGCAGAGAGAGCTATGGCCAGAAACTAATTGCCCCGTCTATGCAGGGCCAGCGAAAAGAGCTATGGCCAGGGCCATGATGCCCTCTGTGCATGGAGGGCAGGCACAGGGAGCCTGGTGGTCAGCGGGATCACTTGTCCTCCTTGGACTGCTCTGAAAGCTGTCTGCTGCTCTCTGGAACTCTCCACCCTGCAGAGGTGATGGGGTCCTGGACTACATGACAAGTTCTGCTGCTCTCACTGAGTGTCACCTCTTTAGGGCTCACCCTAATGGTAGCCCCAAGATATACAGTGGTGATCTAGCAAAAATGGAGCTGGTTGACACAACTCCAACTCCAGGACTCACACACAAAGCTGCTCTGGGAGCACTGTTTTCCTTTCTCTTCTCTCTCCCTCTCTCTCTTTTAAAATATTTATTTATATTTAAATTGCAAAGTCAGATATATAGAGAGAGGAGAGACAGAGAGGAAGATCTGTCTTCTGGTTCACTCCCCAAATGGCCACAACGACTGGAGCTGAGCCTGTCTGAAGCCAGGAGCTTCTTCTGGGTCTCCCATGTGGGTGCAGGGTCCCAAGGCTTTGGGCCATCCTTAACTGCTTTCCCAGGCCACCAGCAGGGAGCTGGATGGGAAATAGAGCAGTCAAGACACAAACTGGTACCCATATGGAATCGTGGTGCATGCATAGCGAGGACTTAGCCAAATAGCCATCACACCGGGCCCAGTAGCATTGGTTTATATAAGAAAACAAAATCTTGGACATTGTAAGGGGTTGGCATGGTAGTGGTGGCATAGCAAGTTAATCCTCTGTAGTGCCACCATCCCATATGGGTTGCTGCTCCTTGCCCCATCCAGCTCCCTGCTAACGGCCTGGGAAATCAGCAGAAGATGGTCCAAGGCCTTGGGCTCCTGTATCCACATACAAGACTGGAAGCAGTTCCTGGCTTCTATTATTGGCAAAGCTCCATGGGTTCTTTCCTCAACTTAGCAGAAAAATAAAAAGCCAGATGCAAGTACAAGCATAACAGTTTTTACTCAAAGAAAAGTGATGGGAAAACACGCCCTAAGAAGAAATAAGCAAGTGGAGTGGCCCACTGGAGCTGGCTTTAGGGGAGACAGCTTGGGCTTTTTATTTTTTATTTTTCTCATGATCATAAACATAGTGGGGGGGGCAGCATTGGAGCCCAGATGTCTGCGCTGTAGAAAGGTGTCTGGAACGACAGTATACAAGTGACCTTCTTGTCCTATCCCGGAAGCTCTGTCTGCACTCTCCCACTGCCTTCATCAGCTAGGCAGGGAGGCAGGAGGGAAAGTCCCTTGCCTTGATTGCCTTGGCAACTCCAAGGTCTTGCAAGTCTGTGGTCTAGGAAGCCCATCTAGTGTGTGTGGTCAGCGGACTTCAATGGGAGGGTCCAAGAAGTGGACACCGGCCATACTCTTCCTCCCCCAAGGCACTGGGCCTGTCTCAGTTCTTAGTGTCCTGTCAGCCCCAGTTGCAGCTATCTGGGGAGTGAACCCCAAATGGGAAGAAAGATCTCCTTCTCTGCCTCTCGCTCTGTGTAACTCTTTCAAGTAAAATAAATAAATCTTTTGGGGGAGTAAAGATTTCAAAGATAAAGTCTACAAAGCATCCAGGGAAAATTCTTGCCCAGCTCCCCGCTTCATTAAGCCTGTGTGTGATTGTGGGGGAGGCAGCTAACAGGGGTGGGGTTGCTCCTTCCAGCCCGCCCCGCAGGAGCCCTTGGAAAGGACACGGAGGATTCCCGGTTCTCACTGTTCTTTCGCATCTTCCCGGGGAGGGGTGAGCTCAGATCCCAGATCCCAGATTCTGAGCGTGGCGGCAAAAGGAAGCTCAGGGCCCGTTGGGAGCCGCCCCAAGGCTAACGCTCCTTCCCTCCCGGGAACAGCAAACAAGCGGTCAGGGTCCGGCCCCGCGGAGGCCACGCCCTGGCTGGCCCCAGCTCCCGGGCCAGGCCTCCTGCCCAGCCGCGGTCTCGGTGGGTCGGTCGGCTTCACCCTCTCCACTTGGGAGGTGGTGAGGGTGAGACAGGCCCTTCCCTGCAGGCTGCTTAGGCCTTGGCGGGGATGGAGAGGGGGCGGATGGGAGGGAGGGCGAGGAGAAGGGTGGAGGCCTCTTTCCTCCAAGAGTGGCGGGTCAGGGGGTTTCGCAAGCCATCAACTCGTAGCTGACCCCGGCGTGCAGCCCGAGCTGGGCGCGGGGGTCTGGGACTCGAAGTCATTTTCCCACAGAAACAAAGCTCCAGTGTTTGTTGGCTGCGCGCCTGCTCTGCGACGGCCAGATTCTGCCCTGCAGCGTCGCGGCCCCAGGAGCCTCCATCGCCTCCGTTGTGCCAGGCGGGGGGCTCCTGTGGGGCCTCTGGACAGTTCTGGGCAGCTCTGCCAAGAAGCTGGTGGCCGTGGGAACTGGCGCCGGCGCGGACAGGGATGCGCGTGTGCCGAAGAGCGCGTGGGAGACTTTTCCAAGTCCGGAACGTGGCTGAGCCCCGCAGGTTCCGCACCCTGCAACCTTGGGCGGGTTTCTGAGCCTCCTGTCTGGGCTTCTCCTTTTAGCCCCAGGAGAGCATGGGGAGCCAGTGCCTGGTTCTCTGTTCTTGGTTCATTTATCCAGTTCTATTAGAGGTAAACTTGACAAATACTGCTTTTCTTTCACTCTGTGGTTTTCTAACTTTTCTTTTTTTTTTTTTTTTTTTTAAGGTTTCTTTCTTTTTATTCAAGGCACCTCCCCAAGGCTCAAGCTGTTCTGATTCATGTGTTGGCAGTCATAGAGCAGGGAGGGCACTCTGGCCCTGGTGGCCAGCTGGCCCCACCTCAGGGCTGCAGGCGGAGGAGTCACTGAGAAGTACATACACACTCCCTGCAGCCATGCACGCACACAGATGCACACACACACATCCACAACCCCATCCTCCAGGCTTGGCAGGGTCAGATCAGATCCAGCCTGGGGGACTCCAGCCATGCCATTCCCCCAGCCCTACCCCCCTGTGCAGCCTGGTACGAGCCAGCGCCTGCTCTGGGCTGTGAGGAGGCTGAGATGGGGTTTCAGATGCTTATCTCTCAAGCTCCCACTTGCATCTTGGTGCCACCCTCGCCCAGTGGCTATGGTTGTGGCCACAGACATGACCAGTCAGGCTTGAATTCCATCGGGGGTACTCCAAGCCTGTGTGGGTGCACATCTGTCTGGGAGCAGGCATCCCAGGACATGCCAGGGTCATGGGGGGCAGAGGGTTCCCGGGCCAGGGGAGCACAGGGAGGGGTGCAGAGCTCCAGGAATGGGGGTGGAGATGAGGCTGAGCAGATGGTTCAGGGATAAAAGGGGGTGTCTTGGGGCAGGTTTCAGCCAGCAGGTGTGTGTGTGTGTGTGTGTGTGAGCACCAGGAAGTCCCCACCAGTTGTGGCAGGCAGCCTCGCAGCCTCCAGGCCACCCTCTCACTAGATGAGCTGGGGGGGGGGGGGAGACCTGTCATTGCCATGGGAACTGGGTTGAAAACCCAAAACACCAGGAGGAGGCCCCACCCGGAAAAACAACATCCTGGCTGCTGGGACACAAGTGCGCTCTGTAGGAGGGGCTATTTTTAGCTTGGAGGCAGCAGGGTCCTGCTGGCTGGCCTCATAACTCACCCATTGTCCTGTCTGACCTTGGCTGGCTGAGGGGCCTGCCTGTCTGTCTCCCACCCCCAGGAGCATGGCACAGCCTCTCTCTGGGGTGCACCTAGACTGGCTGAGAAGTCAGGGAGGAGGGAGGGCGCCTGCAGACACCCCCTCCATGGGCCCAGTCTGCCTGCTTCATGGGGACACCTCCCATGAAGAGAGAGCTGCACTCCTGGGGCAGGGCCTGGGTGTCCGCAGCTGGAGGGCGAGCACCACTCCTTTGCCTACAGATGCGTTGGGTCCAGCCACACCTTGGGGTGGTTTCATCCCAGTCTTTCTGTAGGCTGAGAAGGAGGGAGGCATGGCCCAAGGTCCAAATCTGAGGCTCCCTTAAGCACGTCCAGAAGCCCCTGTCTGGTGTCTTGACTCTTGAGCACAAACAGCAAAAGGCAAGACTGGAGCTGGGCTGCAGCCCTAGGACTCCAGGGTAGGGCTGAGCCTGAGCTGGCAGGAGTATCCCCTGGGGCTCAGGCTGTGTGTATGTGTGTGTGTGCCCCCAAGGTGAGCACCTGCCTCAGCAGCAGTCCTGGCCCCTCAGACTGGCTCCTGAGCAGAGAGGAGACCTGGGGGATTCTTGGAGGGAAAGGAGTTGCTCATTCACTGAATCTTTATTGAGTACCTGCTGTATACCAGACATTGTCCTAGAAACCTGGGCAGGGGGCACTGCAGGAGCTGCAATGTGGCCTGGCTGTAGCCCCCTCCCTACCCTGCCTGTGGGTCCTGTGTCCAGGGGGCTTCCTCCCTCTGTGCTGAAACACCAGGTGTGTGAAAGGTGGGGCTCTGCAGCAGCGAGGAAGCTGGGGAAGGGGAGGGTGGTGGCCACGCTGCTTCCTGCATCACCTCCTCTTGAGCACGGAAATGCACGATTTCTTAAGGGGCCCGATCTGCAGGTGAGCATCCACGCTCTCCAGGAAGAAGGCGGGCTTGAGCCTGTGGCTGAAGAGGCTGGCAAAGTGGCTGTCCAGGCGGCTCTGGAAGGCGTCGGAGGGCGAGGCCAGGGCACCGCTGCGGCGGGGCCGTGAGGCCTTGAGCCTCCGCAGCAGGCTCACCTTGCCATCCCGCACGGCGTAGAAGGCCAGGGCACGGTCGGCATACTCCAAGCAGACGCCCACGGTGGGCGAGAAAGGGTGGGGCAGGGGCGCCTCCAGCCCATGGAACCACACGGAAAAGCTGCGCCCGTTCCACTGCAGGCAGCACGAGTGGGCATTGCGGCCCAGGCGGCCCCGGTCATAGGGCTCTTGCGGGGAGAAGCCTTCAGCCATGACCCCAACGCTGACCCAGCCCTCAATGATCTCCACCTCCCAGTAGTAGGTGCCCCGGTCCAGGGCGCCTTCGCCTAGCACCTGCTCGCAGTGGGTGAAACGGGTTGGCGACTCTGGGTAATTGATGGGACACAGCACCCTCTTGACTCCTTTGGTCCCAAACAGCTGCAAGAACTTGTCGGCTGTGTCACTGTCCAGGTCCACAATGTAGGCGACTGGCAGAGAGAGAGACAAGGAGCTCAGCGGAAGGGGAGGGCAGATGGCCCCATCTCTGGCCTCTCTCCTCCTTTTCCACCTGTTTAACTCATGCCTGCTAGAGACTTCCCCACCCTGCCCTGCACCCTGTGAGCTGGCCTGTTTACTCCCTGCACTAGGAAGGGAGGTACAGACCCTTGGGTGCTGGGGGCCCTGCCAGCACTTGCTGGGGGCTCAGGGTTCCACTTACACTTGAGGAAGTAGTCCCTGGGGGCTTCACTTTCCAGGAGGTTGGTGCTGTCAGGATCCTGGGATTCGGCATCGGCTACGGAAGCAGGCACGGCAGGGGCTCACTTCCTAGCCTGCCCAGCGCTGGGCTCTGGCTGAAGTGTGCTCAGCTTCCCTTGCCCACATCCTGTGGCTGCAATGCCCTCCTGCCTTGTCCTGGCACTCCCAGCCAGCATGTGGTGGTGCCCCGGTTTGCCCCACTTGTTCCTTGGGCCTCAGTTCCCGCACCTCCCCAACTGCAGGTGGGTGCGGGGAAGTGACAGGGCCCTCTGCCACATGGGCTTGGGCTGATGGGTCACTGTAGGGTGGTGGCTGTAGTCGTTGGCAGGACTTGAGGCCATGCCCTGTGCCAGACAGCCATCCTCCCTCCTCCCATCCTTCCAGGCCTGGGGGGGCCTGGGGGAACATGAGTCACACACGAGGAGGACACTCACCTTCGGAGCCCAGCTTCTGCAGCCCGTCTTCGTCAGTGCCCAGCCCCTGCAGCTGCCCCCACTGGCCAGTACAGGCTGCCAACAGCACATCCCTCACCGTGCGGACAGCTTGGGAGGACTTGGTGAAGCTGAGTTCTGTGGGGAGCCCAGGCCCCGGGCCACACCCCTCTTCCAGGGCCAGCTTGAGAGCCAGCAGCTCCTGTGTGGGATGAGGGCTGGGTAAGGCTCTGCTGGCCACAGCCCCTCCCGACCCGGCAGACCAGGCACCTGCTGCCCCCTGCCAGGTCACCTCCTCCATAACCTGCAAGGTACCCTCACCTGTAGGAAGCTGACTGAGTCAGCCTCAGGGACCTGGCCGAGGTTGTGGCGGGCTCGGCTCAGGCGACTGCGCTGTTCCTCCTGTCGCCGCAGGTCCCCCTGGGAGCGGCCCAGCATGGTGGCCTCTCCCTCCTCGATGAAGGCCAGTACCTGGGTCTGGAAGCCTTGCAGGGCAGCCATGGCCTCTGCAAACAGCTGGCTTACCCTCTCCCGCTCCGCCAAGGCTGCGCTCTGCAACAGGCGATGGTGGGCATTGATGCCTGACCCCAGTGTCCCCCTGCCACGCCCCAGGGTGGAACCCAAACTTGTGCTGGGAGAGACCTGTGCTCAGCAGGGACAGGAGCAGCACCCCGAGCCCAGGCTGGACTGCAGCGCAGGACCCCATGCTGCAAGCTGACGGGGCTGGGAGCTTATCACAGGGTGGTGCAGAGCAGGGCTGGAGTTGGGGCTCTGACCTTAATGAGGGCCACAGTACGCCGGGATTGTGCGATGCTGGCGCCCAGCTCATCCATGCGCTCCTCCACCGCACTCAGGACTTTGGGCTGCTCAGTCTGTGGATGACAAGGCCCTGTGAGTGCAGGGGCTGCCTGAGGCCGCAGCCCTGCACAGGGTGGGACCAGGGGAGCACATGGCTGGGTAGGGGAGAGGCAGGGACTAGCAGAGAGCTGTGTCAGTGCACAGGTGGACCAGCAGTGGCCTTCAGGTCCCTTCATACGCCAGGGGTGCCACCGCCTAGGCCCTGGGAGGAGGACAGGTGGGCGATGCTGTCTGCCCCCTTCACACACACCCACCCCAGGAGCCGGCAGGGACAACTGCCATGGGACTGGACGCTGTCATCAATTTCTTCCAGGCAAGAAGACAAACACACAGGGTGAAAGTGTGAAACAGAGTGACAGTGAGAAAACATTGCAGACAGAGAGGCGGGTGGTGCCAGTACTGTGCGGGATTAACAGTCCCCTAAGATCCTAGGTCCCCAACACAGGCCTTCAAACAGGGGATTCTGGGCAAATCCCCGGGGCCTGTGAGTCACTGCTCCAGGCAGGAGAGGCGGAAAATCCCAAAGCCAGAGGCGCCAAGACCGGGCTGGAGGCCAAAGGAAACCGGGGGCGGGTGACGCTGGGCGCTGTGCACACCGCCCCCTGCCGCCTCTTCCACCAGCCTCACTGGGGCGGCCAGCGGCTGGACAGAGGGGTCTGTGTGCCCTGAGTCCACCGCAGCACTCCAGTCACCAGCCACATCCATCCAAAGTGGCTGCTCCTAGCCCAGTGGAAAACTGAGCTGCAACCGGTGTGAGAGCGCCTTGGCTGGGCGCATCAACAGCGCACACTGCCCTAAGCGGCCATCGTGGGGACCTCGGGGGACCAACCCGTTTCCCTCCCAGGGGCCCTGACCCAGTGGGCTTCAGGTCCTCGGCCCACCCCCTGGCGTCCCACTCCCGTTCTCATTCCCCGCACGCGGATGATACGGATCCTCAGGTTAAGGGAGAAGAACCAGACACAACCCGCTGAGGGTTAGAGGGCCACCTGCCCACCTGCCCGCCCACCAGCCCGCCCGAGGTGCCCGCGCCCACCTCCTGGAGCTCACGCTCCTGCTCCAGCGACACGAGCTCGTGGCCGCGATGCTCCTGGGCGGCGCAGGCCTCGCACAGGCACACGCGCTCGGCGCGGCAGTAGCGCTCCAGCGGCCGCAGGTGGCGCGGGCACAGGCTCTCCTCCAGCCGCCGCAGCGGGGGCACAAGGCGGTGGCCGCGGAGCGCCGGGCTGCGCTCGTGGGGGCCTAGGTGCGCGGGGCAGAAGGAGGCGAGGCACGAGAGGCAGGAGAGTGCGGCGGGTAGGGCCGCGCCCTCGGGGCACGCGTCGCAGCGCACCGGCTCTTCGCCCTCGGGCCAGGGCTCGGGCGCACTGGGGGCCGACGGCTCCGGGGCGCTGGGCGGCGCGCTGGGCGCGGAAGGTTCTGGGCTAGGGATCGGGGCCGGTGCCGAGGCCGTCCCGGGGCCGGGCCCGGGCCCTGACCCAGGGCCCGAGCCCTGGCGGAGCTGCAGCAGCTCGGACAGCGTGTGATTCTTTCGGAGCTGCAGGCCGTCGGGGAAGGGCTCCTGGCAGAGCGGGCAGCGGGCCGCGCTTCCCGGGCCGCCGGTGCCTCCCGCGCCGCGGTGCGGCCAGAGCGCGCCCAGGCAGGCGAGGCAGAAGTTGTGGCCGCAAGGCAGTGTCACCGGCTCCCGGAGCGGCTCCAGGCAGATGGGGCAGCTGAAGGGTCCGCTGCCGTCCATGGCTCTGACTGTTCGGGCGCCGCCTGTTCTGCTCCCGTCTGGGAGGGACCCGAACAGCTCGCGTCGCGGCGCCGCCCCCTGGGACTCAGGCCAAAGGTCCAGCCCCCCGCTCCACCCGCCCTTTCCCAGCGCCGCCCGCCCGAGCCTGGATGCTAGGCGTTCAGGGACGCACTCCATGCCTGGGTCCTCCGCTTCTGCGCGGTGCGAAGGGAAGGAGCGAAGGTAGAAAAAAGCAGAGCCGAGGCGAGCGCAAAGGACGGACGGAGGGTCCTCCTGCCAGCCGCCCCTGGCCAGGGTGAGGGGCCCTGGAGGGACGGCAGGGGCAGCAGCGTCAGGCATGGTCACCTTGGCCAGCCCCTCCCTGGCACCATAAGCACGGTTAGCGGGGCTGCTGACAGCGGAGGAAAATAAACGCTGACGCCTAATGTTGGTGCCCCTTGACGACTGTTCCCCTCCCCCCTCCCTCGTGGGGAACTGGGACTTTTCTAGACGTGAAATAGGAAGTTGACCTGTTCCTCCAAGTCCCCAGTTGGAGGAATTCTGTTCCGGTCAGTGGACTCTGACACCTGTGGTGCTCCCTGGGCTGGACCGGGGAGGGGAGGGTTTCCTACCTGGAGGCATTTGTTAGGAAGAGTGGGACTAGCCCCGTGGACTACCCTCGGAGCTTTGTGTAGCGGGTCCGGGCCGTCCCACTGCTCGCCCCGGGTCTTGAGCTGGGGACAGGACCAGGAAGGGGCGGGACTCGAGCCTGGGTTGTTGGCCTTCCGGCTGGGAGGCCCCAGGACGGTGGCGTCTCATGCCTGAATCTCACACGGAGGTTACCACGCACGTGGGGAGCTGCCACCGGGCGGCCAGTGCCCATTTGGCGCTAGGCTCCGTCTGCTGCACACCCACCCCCCCAGCAGGGAGCACTGGGATTTTGGTTCTTTGATTGCTGCTTAGACAGCTCCATGCTGAACCCTCAGGGCTTTGGGGACGGGAATCAACCCTAAAGATTCCCAATGACAGTAAATCTTCCTCAGATGAGCCTGTAACTAATACGTCCTCAGCCCATGTGTTTTGAAAAATTGTAAAGCCTACTATATTTTCAAAACCTTGTGCTACTCAGAAATGGCGTGGGGGAGCAAAGAAATCTTCCATCTCCTTTGAATGTGTGAGGAAGCCGTGTGGTGTAACCTATCAGGAACACAACAGGTAACTTATAGACAATAGATTCCAAACAGCATTAGACAACAGTGAAACTACAAAGACTTACAGGGGGAATCAAGAGCGACCCTGACAACCTATTAACAGGAGGTCATGTGCACAGAGCAGGGGGACAGGAGGAGGCTTGTATCCCAACCCTGGAGACTCCCGGATTCCCACCAAGGACTATCAGTATGGGCGCCAAGGACCACATCCCAACTGCCAAAGAGACCACGGGGAACTGGAATGTCTATGGAGGCTGAGAACTCAGAGGACATCCCCCCTCCTTTGGACCTACCCCATGGGATGGAAGAAGCCCAAATCCTTCCTCATAGGATCCAAGGCCATCGGAACAACAGCTAGGAACCCTGAGCGATCCTCAGAATCAGAACAGTAAACTCCCTTCGGGACTAGGGAGAGGAGCTTTCTCTGGTTCTTACTTAGTTCCAACTTTGGGTCCCCACCCTCTCCGCAATGACCAACAGGGTTGCTCCAGAGCCCCCCCCCCAACACACACACACACACACACACACACACACACACACACACACACACTCACGAATTAGAATAGATAGGCAGAGAACAACAAGGAAGGCTTAGTCAGCATGGACTCACACACACCTTACTAGGTAGGACACGGGGATTAAGTACTCCTCACCAAGGTACTGAAGAATTCTCTGCACACCCTTCCTAAAACTGTTTTGCACCTCAATTGTTGAAAGGTCATTGAAGTGGTCACAGGAGGTTGTTAAGAACTTGCATGTAATTTTAACATAATGTTTACTCAATACTATGTCAATTAATTCCATAACCTTATATATTGCTGCTGATGTTATGTTGGGGCTTTTAATTGATCGGGATTTTACTCGGTTGGCTCTACCTTCAGACCAGAGAAGGTCTCCCCAAGAAGCCGCTGAACTTATCGGGACAATAAGATGCTGGACTCTATGCTTGGTATATGCTTGCAATGAAGGAATCTCAACTGAACTTGAACTGTGGTCACACAAGGGGGAGAAATCCACCATGGGGGGAGGTTTAGGGGAAGGGTGGAGGGAATTCCAGTACCTATAAAACTGTGTCACATAATACAATGTAATAAATAAATAAACAAATAAATATTAAAAAAAAGAAGAAGAGTGGGACTTGGGCTCGGCGCAGTAGCCTAGTGGCTCGCCTAGTCTCACCTTGAACGCACCAGGATCCCATATGGACGTCAGTTCTAATCCCGGCAGCTCCACTTCCCATCCGGCTCCCTGCCTGTGGCCTGGGAAAGCAGTGGAGGACGGCCCAAAGCCTTGGGACCCTCACCCGTGTGGGAGACCAAGAAGAAGCTCCAGGTTTCTGGCTTCAGATTGCCGTAGCTCCAGCCGATGGGGCGGACGATCTTCCTCTATTTCTCCTCCTGTTTGTGTATCTGATGTTGCAATAAAAACAAATAAGTCTTAAAAGAAGAAGAAGAAGAGTGGGACTTTTGCCGTCAAAGAGTGCAGTTCCCTGCAAGTTCTGCCGCCGTGGTGGGAAGTTCAGAGATGCCCATGCTGACATTGACAGAGAACTGGACATGCAAGTGAGAGAAATCAGAAGAAGCTCAAATCCTGTTTGCGGAAGCTCTCAAGTAGCACGGATTCTGCTCGCTACCCCTGGCCTGTGCAGCAACTTGACTTTTTCGTCTTTAAGATTTATTTATTTTTATTGGAATGTTGATTTCTTTTTATTGGAAATGCAAATTTAAAAAAAGTTTTATTTAGAATTTACTGGAAAGTCAAATAGAGAGGAGGAAAGATGGAGGATTTACTCCCCAAGGGACCACAACGGTCAGTGATGCACCAATCAGGAGCCAGGAGCCAGGAGCCTCTTCTGGGTCTCCCGTGCAGGCGCAGGGTACCAAGGCTTTGGGCTGTCCTCCACTGCTTTCCCAGGCCACAAGCAGGAAGCTGGATGGAAGCGGGGTCACTGGGATTAGAACCGGCGCCCATATGGGATCCTGGTGTGTTCATGGCAAGGACTTTTAGCCACTGGGCCGCTGCGCTGGGCCCTGAGCTGTTCTACAGTTAGGATCCAGGAGTTTCTTCCAGGTCTCCTATGTGGGGGCAGGAATTGAGTCATCCTTTGCTGCTTTCCTAGGCTGTGCGCAGGGAGCTGGATCAGAAGTAGAGCAGCCAGAGCTGGAACTCGGGCGCATGCGGGATACTGCTGCTGCAGGAGAGAGGACCATCCCATTGTCACAGCGCCAGCACCGTGTGCAGCCACTTCTCCAAGGGAGCATGCACTGTCTCCCTTCCTTTCCCTTTCCTCCCTTCCCTTCTGTTTTCTTTTCTTTTTTCCCCTTCTCTTTCTTTCTTTCTTCCCCCTCCCCATTTTTTTTTTTTTTTTTTCTGATTGAGGAATCTGTCAAGCACCTGCAGCCATCCAGGTGACCCACAGTAAGCATCAATGCTGATGTCATGTTGAGAGCACATACTCCGAGACGCTGTGGTCTACCTCCCTGACATTTGACAAGGAAGAAAAACAGGAGAGAGATCTCGGGCTACCTAATGGACAAGATGTATAGTAAGAGCGGTCACTGTCCTAACAAGAGCCCCAAGATGGTCTGCATCTGAACACGGCTGGGCAGAGCTGCCCATGCCCCTCCTGGAAGGAGGGCAGAACCCACAGCTCTGACGAAGGCCTGCCAGGTGACACCCCCAGTGGCCCTGCCTGCTGGCATCACACACGGCTTCCGGGAAGCTGGATCAAAGGAGTCAGCCAGCAGGTGCCTCTCCTGCAGCATCCCCTAACCCTGGGTCTTGTTAGCTGACTTTGGCTGTGACCTTGGGGAGGAACTGGTCTCTCTCATCTGCTATATGCCTGCCTCCACTTGGCGTGGGAGGGCCAACCTCCCCGTCTCCTCCCCCTGCACTGTGAGCTCCTAGGGACAGCAACCCTGTTTTGGGCGTCTCTCATCCCTGGGAGATTCCTGAGCTAGTACCAGGCCATGGAAAATGTTGGGGGTTGTCTGGAGCAGGAGGAGGTGAGGGCCACCTCTGGGCCAGGCTTGGGGCCGCAGCTGGGGGCGGCTGGGAGAGGCAGAAAGCTTGAAGAGACAAGGCCTTTGTCTCCTGGAGCTGAGTGAGTCCCTGGGTGAGGAGCTGTGAGCAGGGGAGGCTGGCAGGAGGGAGGTACTTACTCTGCCCACAGCAGAACCTGCCATGATGGAGGACTAACGGCCCTCTCCTACCAGAAATGAGTGCCTGTCTCAGGGGAGGAGGGATGCCAACAAAGTGTCACCCACTGAGTGGCTTAAAGCGTCAGACACATCTCACAGTGCAGGGGACCTGGAGTCCAAGGTCAAGGGGTTGGCAAGGATGGTTCCTTCAGATCTCTGTTGGAAGTTCCGGGCCACGCCTGCCTCTTGGCACCTGCTGGTAGCTGGCAGGGTCCCTTGGCTTGCAGACCGAGCACCCTAACCACCTACCTCTGCTGTCCCATGCCCACCCCTCTCTGTGGCATGTGTTCAGCCTTCCTCTGACCATCCTATCCCACTCAGGCCTCATCGGACCTTGCTGTCACCTGCTAGGTCCTTATTTCCAACTGTAGTCATGGCCCTGGACACTGGGGTTCAGAATTTGAACAGCGGAGAAATGCCGCTTAACCTGTACCAACGCACATATCAGGAAAGGCTTGGAGAGGGTGCCCACCCCACGCGTGGTCCCCGTGTCCCTGCCTTTTCCCCTGTCCAGGTTCTAGACTCTGGTTGTTCCCCAGTTTGAGCACATTCTGCTACAGCCACTCCAACCGCTAGTCCAGCCAGGCCCGGGTGCCCGCCTCTCCCTCTCCTCTCTGGCTTCCCAGCCCAG